ATTTTCCGTGGTAAGCCTTATTCTAAGGTCTGATTTGTTATCACCCTGTATTATTGAGTGTGTACTTGTGTGCCCTCACTTTTTCTTTATTCCTACCTTTCGGTATCTACTGCCAGCCTGTTTGTTTTCTTATATTTTGTCACAGTATTTTCTCCTAGGATTATCGGTGCCTCGATATTTCTTTTTGTCTTTTAGTTTTCTTCTTTACTTACCTGGTAAAAAGACGAGTTTATCTCCACCGAAATCCAATTTGAATGCATTTCTGTGTCTAAATTTAGGATGTAATTTTGCCGACGTTGCCGGATCTATCCATATGGCTGGTGAACAGGTTATGCGGAATTAAATTTATCATTTATTGCACCGATTTATTTTTTTTTTTTATTATCTATGCTTTGTTTTTAATATCTTATATACTACTTATTATTTTGGAGTATTATTCAAGGGAACTTGACTGTAGTCTGGTGGGATATTATTGTTGAAGCCAGTATTTAACTAATACTGCAGTTGGATCTCGCCGTTTGATATTCGGTACAGATAGGGGTCAGTTTCTCTTGGATCTTAATTTTTTTTTAATTATTATTCATTCTGTTTAGCGGGAGGAGAATACCTACTTATTGTAAGATATTCGCTCCGTGCGAAGTCATGGAAAGGGAAGCAAAAGCGATACTAGCGCTAGCTGCGGATAATTCGTGCATTTTAGGGCGATACCTATTTTGTAATTTTGGCATATCAAATACACGTATAAATTTTACTTTTTTTCAAAAAAGTAGGTAAAAACAATACAATAGGTAACCGGAGTTGCTGTGTTGAAATTGTACAAATAGTAGCAAAAAAAAAACAGTGACACTTTTATAAAAAATTTTAGTAGCAAAGTGGAAATTAAATCAAAGAAATAAATGGATAGGTGTACAATAAGAAGAAAAATTACCTTTATTTTTGTAATAATAACAGTAATGGTGGAAATAGTAGACATCAGAAACTTGAAAGGTTTTAAATAAACAATAAATTATCATTTTACGATGTTCTTTAATATCCCTTTATTCTTAAATGTTCATTCAGCAAGGACTAGATTTAAAGATTTCTGCCTTTGATTATTATATGTGGATCGAATGCAATTTTGTGACTTACTGATGGGAAACCAGTTTTAATCATTCATTCTATGTTTTCTTTCCAACAAAAATGAAAATATAAATGACGATCCTTTTTTTTATACATTTTAACTTCAGGCTATTATTAAATGTTATTTTTTTATTTTGACAACAGGCTAATTCTTCAATGACAACTTATTAGACTTAGGCAACTTCTCATACATTTTCCAGTAAATACTGTTGCCTGCCTATATTTTATTATTCATTTTTATTGATTATACATAATTTTCTTTAATTTAAGAGATAAAAATATATAATAATAATAATAATAAATTAATGTTTTACTTGTTTTACAAATCCATATACTTTTACTAAAACTAACATATATACTCTTTAATTACGAATTTTATTAAAAATTGCATTTGTCAGTATACGCAGAAATAGTCCATTAGTATCAAAACGAATTGGCGCTGCTGTCGCGCACGGAGCGAATATGCTGCTCATGCGCAGTGTGGGTGTGGGACTATTGTTCCCTGGGATTTTACTTGGGTCTATGTACCTATATTTTACCTTTACAGATTGTAAAGCGGAAATTAATTTTTAAACATCTATTGCCGTCGTGTTTTTATGAGAAACTGATTCTCACGCATCGTCGCTTTTGGTACCAAACGCTAACGACTGTATTCATAATTTTTAGTACATTTATCTCCTTTAATCTCCGCTACTGTAGGAAATATCACTACGTGATACTGATTTGGGTATTAATATTACTTTAACTAATTTGTATTAGAGGGTAGAATACTTAAATTAAATATTGTTGATAGTGGGATATTTTGACATTGGGATCGTCTGATACCTTAATATTTAGCTACTTTAAGGTGTTGATACCGTAATATTTTATGTAACTTTAATATTTTGATACTTGAATATTTTGATGTCGGATATTTTCTTTTTTTAAAAAGGATCTTTTTTGCGGTTATAATTTGTAAGTTACCAACCTCACTTGGTTTGGTCACCTGATTGGTGATTACTTACTTTTGTTTTGTGCACACTTTCAACTTTTCTAATAAATCGGTGTATTTTTGGAGTTTGTCCTTTTCTTTACCCGACTTTGTTGACTTACACGGTAAATTTGGTTCTGAATAAAGGGGGAATTGAAGTCAACTGGCGCCCAAGAAGAATCGATCAACTTTAGTAGAAATTAACCCACTCCCGTCTCCACATGAGTGACCCGATAGGCAAAAGATTGTGATCGACAGTCCACCGTACATTGTAGCCCGTTGAGGCGGTTACAACTTTAACATTTTCGTCCTTATTTTCCAAACGAATGGCCAATGGTGTCTTATTTAAAAATGTTGAGTGCAAACTCAATAATAAGAATTCAGATATTTTTCTTCCTGATGTTACGAAGTCACTAAATTTTATTTTTAATTAATTTTAAAAATGTATATTTTAATTAATTTTAAAAATGTATATTTTAACTAATTCCCGCCTGACGACATGTAGAAGATCCCCGTATTTGTGTTTCCCAGGAATTCTCGTTTTTAAACAATTGCGAGAACCCTCGTAGGTCAAAAGGCATTTTGTAGAGTCGATTTCGTATCAATTATCTACTTGTATTTGTCAAGGTACTAGTAGGATATTTTTTTTTATTTTTAAATTGTAAACAGTCGGCTGTAGTGGTGGTATCTCCCACTCCGGATTACCGGTCTTCAAGCTTGCCTAGGGAAAAAGCATAAATTAGGTGACAACTGATAATTGTCCTCTTTGATTTCCGGCCACCGTAAACGCTTCTCTTCCCGACCGGTAGCGACTCCATAGTGACCGTGCCATTGATAGTGTAGTGAACGATCCCCGTTTATTTTTTCTAAGGTAGGAAACTGATTATTATTTTTACAATTAGTTTGGGACACCCATCCGATAAGTGGAAAAATTTTGATTCATACTCAGTATTTTCATTTCATCCCTTAGTGGGAAACCGTTGACAATTTTTTATTTGAGACTGGATGTAGGCTAGACTGTGAGTGCTATCTATTTCGACGACTCTATTCAATCTCTTTTAAGAAATGCTCAGTTAACACTGGAGTGAGGGGTTCAACCCGTTTTCATTTTTTTTATTATCTTTGGGAAGTCGCCCAATTTATTTTCTTTTTCGGAGGTTTGATCCGTCCTCGAATTACGATTGTTCTCTATCTTGACGACGTTGTCTAATTTCCCAAAATGACGTTTAAATTAATTTTCGCGCCTCACTTCATGTAAGTTTCCTTTTTTTATTTATTTATTCAATTTTATTTCCGTATTTTATTTCCGTTTTCCGTCACCAACTAATTTTTAAACGAAGCCCGACGTTTTCTATCTTTCCTAATTCACACACCGTTTTGATCGGCTTTGGCAAATCTCAAAATAATTATTACTCTAGACATCGCATATTTCGTCCAAACGCCGTGGTAGATATTATAATTCTCACTCGGCGAGACGACCACCGATGATCGGTTAGAACTAGGATACAGGGGGGTTCCGAAAACTTCATTCAAATTTATAGTAGGGTTTGCCTGTACTGGACTTACATTGTATATGGTTTAACTGTAGTCAAAACTTCATTTTTCTAATATATGGAGTGTCGTAAGTACCCATTTTCTTTTTTTTTAACTTCTCAGTTGGTCAACCGTATAGTTAAAAAAAATGAATTACTCCGTTCTAATTAATTACCGTTTTTATTATTTTTGACTAGAAAATTTAATTTAATTTTGTTTATTGGGAAAATATACTTTCTATATACCGTATTGTACATAATTTCCGACTTAAATATTTTCCAGTACTAGTAAAGGTAATACTTACTTTAATTTCATTTAGTGGACATTTTAGTCTTATTTATTATTAAGTTTATTTAAAATTTATTTCCTATAACTTTTATTTATTATAACTTTAATTTCAATCGTTTTCTTACATTTTATTACCGTCATATTTAATTAATTTTATTACTAAAAATTCATTTTCCGTATACAGAAAGCTTTATAATTTCCGGACCGATTAGCCTCCTGTGCTATCGAACCGCAATTATTTCCCTATAGTTTTTCAATTGTAATAATTTATTTTTATTAAATTGTCTGTATACAGGGAACCATGATTATTTAAGTAGCTTTCAACTGTAATAATTTATTTTTATTTAATTTTCCGTATACAGGGGGGGAAATCGCAACTATTTTCCTACGGTCTTTCAATTATAATTATTTTTATGTATTTTGTATAGGGAACCGTAATTATTTTCCTGTAATCTCATTCAATTGTAATAATTTATTTTATTTAACTTTCCGTATACAGTGGGAATCGCACTTATTTCCCTATAGTTTTTTAATTGTAATAATTTATTATTATATTAAATTTCCATGTACAGGGGGAAATCGTAATTGTTTTCCTGTGATTGTTATATGTAATAATTTATTTTTATTAATTTTCCGTTTACAAATATGCCGAAACCTAATTCCCAAATTTACATTTGCACTATCACAGTTGTATTTTTTTTTGTAAATATATTTTATTGTCTACTCCTGCGTTTCTCTTATTGCTGGTTCCTAACCGTTTCCTTTCAGGGTACCGTAGGGTACGAGGTGTAAAGGAGATAAGTGTTTTTTATTTATTCTAGTTTAGTAGCTACCTAGTTAGCAGTGACCGCCTGGAAATATTTTTAACTCCACTGAGTTTATCTGGTGTACTACAGGGTCGCAGAGCAAACTGTGTTACCAAAACTGGCGCCTGAGTAACCCCTATTCGGGAATCACCATCTTGGCGCCACACAGACTCCCTGATTCACTGTAGGTGAACCAGAAGCCTGTCACACTATATAAATTCTTGTCTCTAACGTTTTGAAGTCATTTTCTTGTTCTAAAACAAAAAATAATAAATAAAAACCTACTTTGTGACAAAAGTTGGTTACTGTTTGTGTTACTTACATGACTAGATCTTACTTTGGTAAATTAAAGAACGCCACATTGGGATTGTTAAATTTATTCATATAGCATGTGTTACTAAAGCAATGCGAGCTCCGACTTATTGTTATATTACAAAATATAATTATCGTCCTCAAATTTCACACAAAAACAACCACAATCCTTTAGTTAACTTTTAGTTAACATCTGAGACGCATAGATAACGGCATTGTTGCTGCGGTCGTTGCGTTTCTAATCTTTATGTGCTTAATCTCTGGTATAAACATAAACGAATGGCTACGTTCCGAATTCAGAATGTGTATGAAACAAAATTGCCAACTGGGTCATGGTATAAGAGTTATCTGTTTGAAACGGATGAGCTGCAACTTAATTTGTAAGAGTAGATATGATGACGAAGTTTGAGGAAAAACCTCTGTTGACTGCAGCAGCTCAAAAGAAATTTTCCAATTTAAATAATAATAAAAAACAAGAAGCATATAATTTTTTTTCAATTAAATACATAAGAAAGCATTTTTCATTATTTTTATAGTTTCTATGTGATAATTTTCCTCCCCAGTTTCACAAATCAATCACATTCCATCTTATGTAGGCTACTGACTTTATTTACATCATCAGTATCTGAGAAGAGTATTTGCCTTCGGCACCCTGATTAATGCTGGTACTCCGTATGTCCTGAATAATTCCTTCGTACTGTTTAATGGCCATCGTTAATTTTTTAACGCTCCTCAGCGTTCTCATGTTTTGTTCTTCGGTCTTTCTGACGATATCGTCGGTAATGTTGACGAACAACTCGGTTTGTTCGTTTACCGAATTAATTTGCGCTGCCAAAAACTTACCTCGCAAAGCTTCTTCCTGAAATTAGAAGAAATATAAAAGATATTTAAAAATTTGAGTCTTTTAAATTTTTACTACTTAAACGGAGCCTACCTTCATAAAATGCGAAACACTTTTACTTACTTCAACCTTTTTCTGAGTATCGTACATCGCCTCTTTCATTTTTTCATAAACTTTGGAATGTTCCGGCATATCTATACGATTTGCTTCCTCTACTTCCTTATCGGCCTTAACTTTCTGTTTATATCGGGCTCTGACTGCTTCTAGAACAGCAGTTGCAGTGTTACAAGCATTCTCGGCTTCCTAAAACAAGTTTTTACGGCTTTTAACTTTTAGTCCGAGAATTTTCGACCAGTCCCTTTCTGCCTTATTTGGGCCTCTAATGGTCTTTATTTTTCATTTGATCAAGGAATATTTGATGAAATAAGTCGACCTCCAAAACCCCTATGGATCGCCATGCCCATTACTCGAAATGTAGAATATACTAGACCAGTCTATGAATGATGACGAAACATTTAGAGGCAAAAATTATAATGAATGCATTGGTCTAGCGTGTTCGATATAGAACGTCTGGAATATTCTGTGTGTGTCTACGTAAGTTGGCTACATATAAAAAACTTTATTATTATTAGTTTTATCAAAAAAAAGTATTCTACATAAAAAATTGTGCATGGTCTAAAACCGAAAATCCAACCCTCAAATAACAAATTTTATGAGTGGTATACTAGATTGTCAAAAAAAATATTTTTGATCAAGAGTAAAGTACCTTTATTTTTGACAATCCTCGTATACTGCTGATAAAATTTTATATATGATGGTTGTATTTTAGATTTTAGACTACGTAAAATTTTTTTTGAATCATTTTTTTTTTAAATTCGAGAGACGCTAAAATGGTGGTTTCCACCTTATCGAGACTCAAGCCCACAAGGGTAAACTCGTAGCGTAACAAAAACAAGAAATGATTTAACTTGGAACGAAAGACAGAAAGACGATAGTAGTATTAGAACAGTGATTTTTTTGGTTCATTTGGCATTATTTAGGTTAAACCATGTGATGATTTTCACAAGCCTTGATTTTTAAAACCATTCTATATCGCCTTTTGATTAGGGTTTAAAAACTTATTCGAGCAATTTATTCAATAATAATTGGCCCCTTAACCCTTTCAATACGACTTTTGGCTATTTGTGTTTTAGGTGTTTTTATGATGAAAACCAGTTACTATAGCAATAAATAGCATGCTCAATCAATTTGAAATTTTTTCTTCAAGCCGTTTTTTAGAAAAAACTTGGGACGTATATAATCCTGCAGTATAGAAACGTGGGATATATATATCCCCGCAGTGTTGACGCGGTAAAATAAAAAATAAACTTATCCAGGAAATATTTATTTCTACAAATTTATTTCATAAATCTATGTATGGTATGGAGTGAAACAATTAACACATAAAGATACTTGACATTTCTTGCATATTATTTTGGTTCTTTTTTCAATTTTTCTGAACTTACAACGAATACACCTATTTCGACCACCTTTATCAAGAGGAAGATGATCACCAATGTTTTCGCAATGTTTTACCATCTTCGATGTTCTACCCTGTCTTCTCGATCGTTTGTTATCTGTTTGAGACCTTCCTTCACTAATAAGGCCTTTAGCCACATTTACCACGAAGTCAATAAATGGACTCTTTTTTTTAGTTAGCTCTTGATAGACAATGTGAGCATTACATAGGGCAACCATTAGCAATCGGAAAAAGACTTTCTTCCACCATTTAGTACTTCTTCGGTCTAATTCGTATAATGTAGACATCTGATCAGCGTGATCTAGGCCGCCCATATGTTTATTATAAAAAATAATGGCCTCTGGGCATTCCAATTCTCTTGAAGTGCCTCATTTTTCGTTTTTTTTTCTGCAAAAACATGAAGAAAAATAACTTTTTATTATAAAAAAGAGAATAGAATCACTTACCTGGGTGTTATATCCTTGAAAATAGTTAAAACACTGCCCAAAAGCACAAATAAACAAGTAATTAGTCGGACGATAGCCACTACGATGCGACACGTGCAACCAAGGGCGGATCCTGAATTTTTTTCTGGGAGGGGCACAAGGGGCGGACGGGCCAAAAAATAAACAATAACTAGTGTCATTCTTTTAAGTTTATTTCTACAAGTTCAAGTATGTATAGGAAGGTTTATGAAAGTGTCAAAACAATGAAAAAATTAAATGTTCAATAAAGACAGTTTTCTTTTATGTTTCCTGCTAAAGATGTCCAACACTTCATTAGCGTACATTTTTGCAGCAATGTCTTGATGGATATGCATTAAAGCCAATCCATTTAAACGCTCTTCTGTCATCCTGTTGCGAAGGTATGACTTTAATCGACGTAAGGTGGAGAAAGACCGCTCGGCAGTGCTAGTAGTCACTGGAAACGTGCACAGCAATTGACAAAGAGTTCTAATATTTGGCAGCACCGTTGCTCTTTTGTAGGCATCTACTGGAGATGCTGGGATATTTTCTTTCATCTGTTGCCAAATTTTTAGCTCTCCCTTCAAAGCTAAGAAACAAGGAAGATCTTCTTTATATACTTCAGCGCCTTGCAAAACATCCTCTATATCTCCGTCGCTGAAGTTATGGGACAGCAACTTTTGCAACTTTCCTATTGTTTGCATTGCAGCGCTAGGGAACCTGGATGACATTTCACTTAATATATAATCTAGAAAAGGAATATATACTGAAAGTCGGTAATATTCTTCAACTGACTGAGTCTGAACGTTCGGCCGATTTGTTTGACGGCCGGCGATTCTGCGGACCGTAATGTCTGCACCAATTTCATTTGCCATGACCTCAGCCTGATTGAAAAGTTTTTTGAATGTGTCCGTGCTAGTTTCACGTTGCCTCTTTATGCTTGCTGTGGTCGTATTAATAAGCTGAACTGCAGAAAGTATATCAATTTCAATGGCTTGTAATGATCGGGATAAGGGCAGCGTGATTCCTAAAATATCAGAGAGGATTACCAGGCTTATGATAAATTCCGATGACATTATAGATTGGAGCAACGAAAATGGAGGTGTAGCACTCCTTCTGTTTCCTTGATCTTGATCAGCCATTTTTTGTAATATTTCAGGAAGACAAGGCAAGACATCCAAAAATGTCAAAACCGCTTCATGCCTTTCCACCCATCTGGTCTCACACATTTTTTTTAATATATTCTGTTTTTCCTTTGGCAGATGAGCTTGAATTTCTTCTCTGAGAAGATGTATTCGTTGAGCTGAGTCACGAAAGAAATTTGCTACACTTGAGATAACCCCTACGGCATTTCTTATGCTGGATATGGTGCAGGCTGTACTAATAGCTAAGTTGAGTCGGTGACTTGCACAGTGGGTAAAAAAGGCTAAAGGCTGAATGCTGGATATGCGTGCCTGAACACCTTTTATTTTACCACTCATGTTGGCTCCTCCATCATATGCTTGACCACGGCACAATGTAATGTCCAGGTTAAGGCTTTCTAACGCCTTCAAAATATGGTGAGTAATGTTTTCACCAGTAAGTTTAACAACTTCAACAAACATCAGAAAGTCTTCTTGTATTTCCTTTGTATCAACATCGAAATAGCGAATACAAATGGTAAGTTGCTCACAAACAGAAACATCTGTGGTCTCATCAGCTATAATGGTAAAAAATTTAGACTTTTTAATTTTGTCCACTATTTTGTTTCTGATTAATTCCCCACAGCATTCAATTAAATCATTTTGTGTCGTCTTGCTAATGTAGGAAGCGTTTTTAGCGCAAGTTTTAACGTGTTCATGCAGTATCTCATCTCCAGCATCGATTCGGAACTTTAACAACGCTCTGAAGTTTCCTTCTCCGTGTCCGTAAGAACTTTCCGATTCTAAGCTACCGTCATCCCTGTGACCTCTGAATGGTATGTTTTGCCTTCCACATAATATTATTGTTTTTATAATGGGTATAAGTTTTTTGCGATTCTCTTCAACAGTTTTCATTTCCTGTAATCTCATTTGGACAACAACATCTTTTGATTTTCCCTCCATTACCATCAAAAAATTTTGAGATGCTACCACGTTCGCTTGGTGGTAATTCGTGCTCTCGTGGTGTGTGATCATTTCGATCGCTTTTTTATATCTTGTCAGTGGTTGCGACACCAATTTTCCCAGCTTCACATCATTTGTACCCACTTCACGTCGACCAAAAAGAATGCACATTTTACACAATCCGCCACCAGCAATTTTACTGTATGCTAGCCATTCATGTTCCTTTAACCAGCTTATTTGAAAAGACCTGTTCTTTTTTCCCTCACGCACCAGTGGAAACTTAAAGTCTGTTGTAGGTTGCCAAGTATATTTCAACCACTGGTACCTTTGTTCGTCTGTAAGAACTAACCCGTCTTGCTGGTTGATTAGTAGTGTACCTGAAAATAAAAATAAATAATTAACTGTTGGATATCTACATATAGAAGTGCGATTGTTATAATTTATTTATAAGAAACTGAAATAGCCTAGCCGTAGCACAGTAATAGCTATTTAATTAATGATGGTTTTTTGCATGCAAAACACGCACTGTTGGGGTGATTGTATTCAATAAAAGATAGCATGCCATGCTTATGCGGCTTCAGGGACGCGCTCTGTCCTACACGACGTCTAATCTAACCATAACACAACCATGGGTCGACCGCGCTCGTGCGTGAATTCACTCGTGATGAGTATTCGCTACGTGTGACCGAGGCTTAACACAGGAGCAAGGTGTGTATGTATAACTTGTAGGTAAATATATGAAGCTGCGGCGGACGAAGAATAAGCTGCACATAAAATAGACGTTCGCAATTCGCAGTTACTCGAAAATATTGAAATACACAAACATTGCAATACTCACCTATATCTCGTTGCTGCAACATGTAACTAGAAGAGGCTGATGCTGCTGATGGATTTGTTGGCATTGATGTAGTTGCCGCATGCGTGGATGCACATGGGATACCACTAAATTCAATCCCTTTCCCTGTATCTGAAACTGCATCGTCGGTTTTTTGTTTTTTGGTAAAGAAAAACGCACTTATGCTCTTTTGTCTTTTTCTGTCTTTATCACTCATTATATTATATACAGTAATATTATTCGCTAAAACTACACTGAACTAAGTAGGCTCTACAAAGAGAAGTTTATTTTAGTTTATGTAATTATCACGAGCGCATGAAAAACTCGGCCGGCTATGAGCTGTCGCGACCTGGACCTGACTCACAATGCACTGAGGCTGATACTCCCGCGCTCACGTCCCGCCCCAGCGCCCCACCCCGACC